TTAGGGATTCCTTCAATGATACGACTTATCATCTCCTCTGTATCTATGTCGATTCTCTGGCCAAGCATCACTTTATCGTCCACGTAACTTCCAAAACTTTCACCGGAACTCCATTTCCGGTTCTCGAATTGACGCCTTGCTTCTAACCTCGAAACTTTGTCCGAAAACATTGAAATTAGCTCACCGGTTAACTCCTCCAGCTGTAGCATGATGCGGTCAGGGTTCGCATGTAGCCACACGTTTGCCTTTCCTTTGATTTTACTAATCATCAGCATTTTAATGTATTTTCCACTAACTCCATAAATGCTTGCAATATTTTTCATTTGCGTAATCCATTTTCGTGCGCAAGTTTTGCCCGAAAAATCACTCACAACTTGTGTTGCCATGCCCAATGCAATGTCGATGCTTGGGTTGTGAAATTCCAAAAACTCCGACTTTGCAACGTTGCCTCTTTTCACTTCTTCAGTGGCGCCTTCTTTTGCGCCGCTTCTGCCGGTTTCATTCCTGTCATTGCGTGCATGATCTCCATCTTTGTCTTCTCCCTCGCCGCCGTCGCTGTTGTTGTTTTCGTCGCCGTCGTGATCGTTGTTTCTGCCGCCATCGCTGTTGTTGTTTTCGCCGCCGTCGTGGTCATTGTTTCTGCCGCCATCGCTGCTGCTGTTTTCGCCGCCGTCTTTGCTGCTGCTCTCGCCTCCATTTTTGCTGTTTCTTCTGTCTACGTCCTTTCCGCTTTGATCGCCGCCAACTTTACTCTTATTTTTATCACCATCTTTTCCTTTAGTTCCACCTTCGTGTTTGTCGTTTCCTTCGCCTCTGACTTTTTCGTTTTCTTGGACTCCAGCTTTGTCGTTGTTGTTGCCTCTGTCTTCGTCGCCATTATCGTTGTCATTTTCTTGGCTTTCTAATTCCAGATCCTCTTCATATTCGTCTTTATCGTTGTTTCCATCGCCGTCTTCGTCTTGATTCCTAATTGCTTCCAGATAATTACGCGTTTCCGTTGACATTTTATCCAAACGTAATATTAATTCGCTCTTCGTTCCCGTTGTTGGTAGCCGTAACGCACTTAACCACCGTTTTAATTGCGCAATTGATGCGTTGCTAACATCCATTTTGATTATAATTAATTGTCATTAATTGTTTATTTGGCACGAGATCGGCCCACTTCTGATTTTGTAGGGATATAACAATGTCCCTGGAGTAAAACACCAACACTTTCCTTATTCTAGTTTATTTATTATTGACTAGATCCGCTTCGGATCGCTGCTGGTGTTCGACTGACTCCGCTCTCAACTCGTGATCAGCATCAACCCTCATTGCTCGCTGAGAGAGCAATGAGAGCGATGGGAGCACGAGAGAGAGAGAGCCAGAACCGACAACAGCCAACGACACCGACTTACACTAATAGTTTACAGTTATACAATACACTTATAGCTAATATATATATACCCTAAGTAGCAATCCTGCTACACATGTTTAATAAAAATATAAAAAAATAATTAATTATTAAATTATTAAAAAACACCACCCTCCTCCTCGATTCTCATAGGTTGCACTTAAGCAGGCCCGAAAAATCTGAAAAATTATTATTTTTTGTTTGCTGTTTTTGTTGTTTTATTATGTTTTCTGGTGTTGTTGTAATTTCGTGTTGTTGTTATTTTTGTTGTTGTAACTTTTTGTTGTTGTAATTGTTTTTGTTGTAATTTTTGTTGTTGTAATTGTTTTTGTTGTAATTTTTGTTGTTGTAATTTTTTTTTAAATTTTTTTTTTTTAATTTTTTTTTTGTAATTTTTTTTTTTTTTTTTTCTTGTTTTTTTTGTTGTGATTTTTATTTTTAATCTTTTGTTTGTCCTATAAGTAACTAATTAATCGTAAATACCATAACTATGGTGTTTTTGACGATAGAAGCTTGGGAATTTTTTCAAAATTTGACCAACTCCGATGGCCTACTATATACGATATTTGCTGTGATATTGCAGACATTGCATTATTTTCGTATATGTTTGCACTGCACTGCAAGGGTATATTAACTTAAGCTCCGACCGAATTAAGCTTTCCCTTCCTGTTTTACAAATAATTTGGCTTTTTATTTCCAAAGAATTCTAAGTGCTGTCCATTTCCAATACCCCCTTTAAAGCACTGCTATTTCTCTGCAATAATGACTGCATTTTTACTCCATTACAGAAGTCAGTTAATACTTTGAGACCCCAGCTTATCTTTTTCCTCCGAAGCAGAACAGCAGCTTGTTTACACCCATATTTATCAATGCTGCCCGCAATAAGACATCGACAGTATGGGGGGCGTGGCAGGACAAAAGTTTTGAGCAACTCTGCTAGATAAATCAAGTGGCATTAGGTTAGGGGTCTGGAGGATGCTGCTGCTGCTGTGGCAAGATAAATAAATTAACTCGTTCAAGTTGGCTGACAGATGGACTTAGTGATGGTCCCATCATGATGGGGCAGAGTCATCATTCCCCACTTTTCCCTCCACTAAGTCGAACAAACAAGTCGTTAAAAACGCGTGAATCCTGGCTAATTTATGGCTAATTAAGTTGACGCAACTTCTCGGTCGCCTGGCAACCTAGAGGGGAAGTAAGTAGGAGACTTCCCCATCCTAGGGCAACATATGCCACGTGTTTGTGCGGCAGTTATGCCATTTGTATTTGAAACGGTCTCGGTTTTGGTTTGTATGCACTACACTTGGCGAAACAATGGGCGAGTCTGGCGCTCGACCTGCTCGTGAATAGCTCGTTAATTAAGAAGCCTGTTATGAGCAGCTTACCAACGTAATACATTTTTATGATCGCAAATGGAATTATAACTGCCGGGCATGTGGCCACCCCTTGTACTCATTTTCCGTCCTGCCAGGATACACACACTCATACATACACACGTAGAAAAGCATTACTGGGGCATAGGTTACGGCCGGATGGGTCAGACAGACTCCGGACCATGGTCTACGGACTGAGGGTGGTGTCCTCTGATACATACATACACACATGGATTGCACAACATAACGACACACTCGTCCTTCCCGTCGGGGTAATTTCGTAGACAAACATCATTGGCATTTCTGTTTGAAGGCTCTGAGTGCCAATTAACTGAACGTGGGCTGCCCTACCTGAACTTCACTACCAGAACGTCAGAATGTCCTATATACATATAACAGATATCGATCACAATACTACATCCTGCTAATGGGTGTGAATCAAATTGCTGACAGGAAATCCTTGTGATTTTCCAATTGAAGCATTTGTTTGAAAAGTCTTTATTAGCGGCTAAGTGACTTTCAACACTTGGTAATCAAGTAGAAAAATTTAAAAGAAGGGAACAGAATTGAAACTGAAAGGACATTGCAGATTTAAAGCAATCTTAAATCACTTAGCTTTTAAATTAGAACCCTCGCAAGACGATCCTTTATTATTAACTGCCATTTAGTTAAATAATTATTTACTTTCCAGTTACCAGCTTCATCTTAGCAACTTTATTTTAGCCGTCACGCTCTTAATCGTGGGATTTAGTTCGGCGATGTCTCAGTGACTTGCAAACTTGGTCATCAACACGTAGTCCCATTCGGGATACTTAAACCACATACAACTCATCAAGGACCCCAACCGAGTCAGCTGGCCACGTGCCGAAAAGCTCCCTCCCATGCCCGACTACTCCTCGTGGAAGGACTTTTTTTAAGGGGGGTGATGGCAGTGGGTGGGCTTTTAAATTAAATCACAAAATGAGGATAGAGCGACTGAGCAAGCCGAGGCAGCCGCTAAACCAAATAAATAAACCCTTTGGCCGCAGTCCTTAGTGTCCTTGCAGGCGCGTCCTCCTTGGTAGAGATAACAGTAAAGACAGGAAGTCAACTTGCCAGTGGGCTAAATAAATAGGTTTTAGTAAGAAAAACTAACTCAAAATAGGATTTTTATATATTAGAACAAACTATATAATTAAATATAAGAAAAATATTAGTTTACCTTTTATTTTTATAAATAAAATAGTTTAGTTTAATACAAGTTTAGTATGAAGTCGAAACTTTTTCTTCGGTGCACTCCAAGTTGTGCTTGGCATTTTCGGTAGCCGAAAGGACACACGGAGACCAAAAGGGATAATGGCATAAAATCCAACAAAATGAAAAGAAAGCGGCAAATCATGTTAAGAGATTTAAATTGGATTAGTTGGCATGTGTGTGTGCGACCAGGGTGTCCTGGGCCCGATGTCCTCGCGTCAACTGCCACTGGCCGTGAAGTCTGGACCGGATCTGGATGTGAAGCTCCTGGCTCTACGCTCGACACTCGCTCATCTTGACATCAATTTTGTCACTTGATTTCCCTTTCTTTATATATTTTTTTAACTTTTCTTCTTTTTTTGGTGTCAGGCCTGTGCTTTTATTTATTTTTGTATGCTTGACACAATTCCTCGTCGAGGGCTTACGGCTCGAGTGTCTTTCTGGCCCTCCTCGATGCCATTCAGCCCGGAAGAATGGGTATCTGCTCTTTCGCAGTCCCCTGCATTTGACAAGTCACCGGGCCCCTTTCGACTCGGGCGGGGGTCATCATCGTCCTTCCATCATCCCACGTCCCTAGGACATGGTGTCAGGTTGAGCTCGCGTCGACACCCAATAAAAGTGTGTGTCTCTTAAAGAGATTCTCGGGCAGCCGGAATGATTTATTACAGGGCCCGGGTCCAAATCGAAAAAAAACATTTGAATGGCAACTGGTATGCGAAAAAAAGGTGAAAACACTTTTCGTAATTTTAGATGGGCTTTTATTAGTATGTAATGCATTTTTTTGAAGTTTCCATATACAAAAAGGTTGGAAAATTTGATCAAAAAACAGTTCCGGTTTAAAGTCGGTTAAGAAATAGAAAAGATATAAGGTTTGATAAATGTATCAAAACTTCGATTTCAGCCAAATTACAAGACATTTAATCCCCGCACGCATTTTTTGTCTAAAATTTTTCCAAAATTTTATATTTTTTCAAAAAATATGAGGTATTTGTGGACCGGGAATCACCTATGGACAACAAATTTTATGAACCAAAAGAGATCGTACAGCCCACGACTGCTCACTTTTCCTTTTGATCGGGATTGGCTTGGGGTTTCTTGCGATACTTTACCTGGGAGGTGTAGACGTCGTAGCCCAAACTGATGCTGTTATCGTAGAATACACGGTACTGGGGCTTTATCAACAGAAAGTTAATGAACTGGGCCAGTGGCCAGACCGTCCATTCGGCCATATAAAGGACAAGGGCTTTTTCCCGGATCTCCTTCTGCACCTCCTCCCAGGTGGTATCCTCCAGCACGGCCATTGTAAGGAAAAAGACAGCGATGTAAAGGGGCGAACAGATGAACTGGTCCAGCAGGATCTTGATGATCACAGTGCGGTAGGTGCGTTGCGGATAGAGGTAGTCCAGATACTGGTACCAGTAATGGCACACCACGCCCACAGTTAGCCCGGATATGCCCATGCGAAGAGTGCGGATCTTGTTCCAGCCGTGGATCTCCCCTATCATCCGTTCATAGGTCTGGGCAATCGTATCGCCCACTCCGCTCAGGGCGATCGAGATGCCAATGTTTGTGTACAGGAGGTATTTCGGGCTGAAGGCCGCTTGATGGTATCGGTCCAGTATCTTTACGAAATTCCTCCATATCGCTTTCCTGGACATCGGAGCTCCCTCGCAAATGCAGCTACTATTGTGGCTAGGCGTGGCGGTGGCCGGTAACCGAAGGTGATTCTCAATATCTCTAAATGACAGTTTTCCCATAACGTATACGATTTTTAAGTGTGAGCAATCTTTTTTAAGATTAAAGGATCCTTAACTTTGGTCTCCAAATTCCAATCAAAATTCTCATCAAATTGCGGAAGGAATACCCATAAATATATATGTTAAAGTTAAATTCAGAAACCGCAGCTAGAAAATTTCCCATTTATACAAAAGGACAAAAAGGATTCGAGGGGGCTTGGGAAACAAAGAACCAACAAGGCAATGAAATCAATTTGGCGCTTGCAGGACGAAATGAGTTTTGCGAGGATTTGTTGAGGTAGCCTAAGAGGGCTCAAACTTATATCTAACGCCTTCGGGCAAGGACTACATGCTGCTGAAAGGATCAAAAAGGGTTGGTCGCCCGCACGCACAAAAAATCTGCTTCGTTCGGCATTCAAATGAGGCTTAGTTTGCATCTCTTTCCTGCCACAAAACATGTTGCTCCTACGCTGACGAAAAATAAAAATAAATAATTAAAGTATAAATAAAACAAAATAATAATTTGGGTCTAAATAAAATAATTTATACGCAAAAATTCAAAGTATTATTCTTAAGAACTTTATATAATAATATTTTATATTTTTGTGGAATTTTTTTGAGTGCATTTCAAAGATATGTCCTGGGGCTTGACGCCTCTGGCAGCGAATTTGTTGCCAGCTGGGTGTCGGGGAGTTAATTCTGCCAAATCATTTGCACGCGATTCCCAACCGCAGATCCCAGCCAGCCACCTCCCCCTTTGGGAAATCAATGGGCACCCCTTTGCATATGTGTGTGTGCGTGAAAGTGAGTGAAAGCCCCCTCTCGTAAGTCCCCACCTAAACCCCAATGTCATCCCGCCCCACCGTACCGCTCTGGTTCATGCGTCGTGCCAGTGAATTGAAAAATATTTACGGCCTTCTACAATCTACGCTAAAATCCAATTTTATTTTTATATTCCCCACCCCCATCACCCCACCCCACACCCCGATTTGATTCCCCGCCGGGGGCATATCCGGGTTTTTTTTGGGGGGGAAGCGTACAGGCTCCCCGGTTGTCAATTCAAAAGCGGCAACCGTAAATTTAGCTTTGCAGTTTGTTTAGCAGGTTGGGGGGACCTGGGTGGCGGTGAGCAGAAGGTTGAAGGATAAAGGATAAAGCCATGGGCGAGGGCATTTGTTTCATTAGCCAGGCAATACACTGATGTATTTACATTTTTGGCGCAATTCGACATTATTTGCAGGCGTTAAATACACGAATTCCAGAAAAAACCAAAATGGTTGCGCCCCAAATCAGAAAAAAAGTAAAAAAAAAGTGAAAAAAGACAAACACCACATCAAAAATGTTGAATAAATATCAATAAAACCACATGCATTTAGAATGACACAAATAATTTCGGTAATCAGAGTTATGCGATAAAACAATGAAAGTAAAATTCCATAATATTTAAACCCAGCTGATCTTTATTTCCCATTTTTCATAAACAAAATTCTAGCAATGCCTTAAATCCTAACTTTAAAAAAAAGGTTGGCAACAATGAATGCTGATTTGGTTAGTTCCCGGCACTAGCGTCCCCGAAAAAATCCTTCTAGGTCTAATTCTTTGTGCAAATGAAATGTGTTTACAGCACTCAGCTATTTACATACTGGCACTCTACCCACCGGGGAGACACTATATTGTGTTGCCTGTCCCAGGACACATGAGGATGTCTGGTCGGATTTCGCTGGACGGTCGCCAGGTTCGTGGAGCATGACGGAGAACTCGTGCCGAGGCAAAAAAAAAAAAAATGAAAGAAAAGTGAAAGCGGTCGCCATGCCGGGACGGGCGAATGCATTTTCATAGTTTTCCCACTTTGTTATGCTGATTTTTCACGTTTTTCGCTTCCTTTTGGTGGCATGGAGACCGTTTTTTTGTACCCCTTAGATTATGTGAAGAAAGGTATATTAAAAATAATAATCCGTGTAAAATATTTCCGATATTAATCGATATTTATGTTAGGGAAGTCCATAAACAAGAATACCCCATTAAGTAGGCAACACTTTTTGTGTTGCAACTCCCCAAGGACTAGCGGGTATCTCAAATTCGGGCACCTCGACTCCATAAATCTTGTGAGTTATTTTTTTTGGTCTGTTGCCAGACTGCCTCGTTCGTTCCGCTCTCAATTTTTTTTACTGGAACTGGAACTGGATGTGGACGGATTTTAGGTTCGGGTTGTCGAGTTTGGGGCTTGTAGCATGTGTGCATTTTAATTGAATTTTTCATTTCGCTCAATAAAAGCAAAAGCCGAATATGCGAGCAGTGAGCAGTGAGCAGCGAGCCGCAAAAAGTGTCATAATCCTCCATCCCCTGACAGGACCCTTGGCTGTGTCCTTGGACCGCCACGCGGTGGCATTCAACCGAATCGAGACGAAACCGGACAAAAGACCATTATTTTATAGTAGTTGATTTATTCGACTGAGACTTAGAATTTTGCCTTAAATATACTTGTATTTCGCAAATCACTCTCTAATTGATTTCGAATCGATTTTGAATGGCATTTTAGTTCATGTTTTGACTAAAGTTCGGCTTCATTTTCCAGCGGTTGCCTCCACTTCAATTTATGCAAATTAAATCGAAATGTGATTTTAATGGGATTTCAGCCAGCCGGGGCACAAAACGATGATGGGCATGTTTGCATTAAATGGAAGTCAAAAAGTTTAGTTAGCTCTCTTTGCGGGAAATCAGTGCAAATGGCTGAATTTGAAAGGAAGCCAACTATAACCGCCCAGATTCCGTTCCGGAAAGCTAACTTATTCAATTAGTGGATGCGAAACTTTGAATTTTGTTTATATTTATTGCCAGCGCCAGTGCCATGCAACAAAATTTAATATTACAGTTTCAACAGTTGAACTTTCTTCAATTAGCCAGGACATGTATACTTTTTTGGGAAACAAAGTATTAAAGCCGATTAATCAACTTGTCCAATATGGAAATAATAAATCACACGCACAACTGCAAACTGGTTGGGTTTTATTTCTGCAAAAGAAAACAAGTGGCTCTCAATGTTTTTGTGTATATATTTTTTGGAGAGTATTATTGTTTGCACTAGACTTGCTATGAATTAAGTTGTTTTAAATTTGAAATAAAAGATCAATAAGCTTGTTGAATAAATATTATAACTAATAACGCAATAGCAGTATGGATGCATAATATAAAAGTTAAAATATAAAAACTAACCCAAGAGTATAACAAATTCGCCTAATGGAGGACAGAGAAGTGTTTTTTCTTTAAATATTTATATGCAGAAAACATTTCAGCCGAGTGGCTCACTTTAAATGTATTTAATGTAGCTCCGTTTAATGGCAGTTGGTTTCATATTCAGCAAATTATTTCGTCACAGACATGGATTAAAAAATACTTTTTATGGCAATTGGTTTTTTGTGAAAAAAGAATCCAGTTTTTTGGTGTACAGGGGACAAGATAAATAATTTTATCCGAGTTGGGGAAACAAACGGAATTTTCAAACGAGTACAGCAAATGCCAAAGGTCAATTGACTCGACTGGTGCAATCAAGGGGGTTGGGGTTGGGGGGTCATGTTCGGTAAAGGAACTCCCGGCATATTTGAATTGTACCGCCGAGGAAAATAAGTCAGCTCACCGTTAACGTAAACGAGCAAATAGCCAAACAGTCAACACGACGGCATCACCCGCCAGTCGTGCCAATTTCGTTAAGGCAAACAAAAACAAATAAAGGACGAGTCCCCACCACCCCAAGCCAAACAGAGCCAACCATCCCACCTGTGCCACCCACCTGTCTGGACGTTGCACAAAAACAAAAGAGCAACAGGGTGTGGGGCAATCAGGAAAAGCTCATGACAGATACAGTATGAACACAGTTTTTTGCAAGTATTGTATATACTGGGGAAAAATATTAAAGTACTTTAAAGGATCTAAGAAATCAGGCAACAAACCTTAAAGCAAATAATAAAATTAGATTAAAAAATGTTATATAAATATGTTTAGCAAATGTTTCTCTTTATCAGTCTTTTGTATTGCAGGGATATTTTTAATACAGTGAAGGATCCTGATAAACAAAGAGGGAGCACAGCTGTTTATGAGGCGCAGAAATGTCATACATCATGCCACACGCGATGTCAGGATGTGAAAAAAGGACTTGGCACACCTGCTTTACGTTGGCATAGCAGCTCCTGCTCTAGAGTCCGTCTGTCCGTTCGTCCTTCCTTCCGTTGACGGTGCGGAACCAGATGAAATTGGCTTGGGTCGCGTCTAAAACGAAGTGGGGCAGAAAGGCAGGTATGCAGAAAACAACATCGCGGATTTGTAACCGAGACGGATCCACTAACGCCAGCAACGAAAAATGAGTGCTGCACGATGATGAGGCAAGCTCTCGTCGGCAGACTGCAACATCACCACCGCCATCACCACGATTTTTATCCTTGCCACCTTGTGCAGTGGCAGAACATTATGCTCCTGGACTGAATCCAGTTGTCGCGTGAACAGGCAACTCCTGGCAGATGACTCCTTGCCGGGATATAGGCATTCATGCCCAGCTAAGTGGCACACGAAGCGTTAAACTATTAAGCACATGTTGCCACACTGACACACACGGGCCACTGCCACCAGCCACGCCCCTTGTTTTGGGGGCTGGTTGCGGGGGACGCTTGAAGAAGGATCACGCACAGGAAGTGCTCTCGCCGCCATTGTTAGGGGGCTTAAGATAAATCATGCACATAAGTCCTGGGGCATGTATAGTATGTCTCCGTTTCGTGAGATTACAACATAAATTCTGCTTGCCATCACATTTAAAAATTTCATTTTGTCATTGCTGGGAAGAGGAAAAATATATTTCATTTAGAACTTGTCTAAATGACAAATTATTTGGATGCATATTGGGGGTGGAAACATGTCCTAGTTATCCTTATGGGATACTCTAGAATTATGGCAGCTCCATTTAATTTCCAAATCAAATTTTACAATCACAGGAGTAATAGGATTTTAATATTAAAGCCCTGTATAGAATTAAATCATCCATTTATTTGAATA